TGAGACAGTTTTGCTGTATCATCCAGGCTGGAGTGCAGTGGCACAATCATGACTCACTGCAGCCTTGACTTCCCAGGCTCAAGTGATCCTCCCATCTCAGCCTCTTGAGTAGCTGTAGGCACGTGCCACCATGGGTGGCTAATTTTTCTGTTTTTCGTAGAGACAGGGTCTCTCTGTGTTGCCTAAGATGGTCTCTAACTCGTGGCCTCAAGCAGTCCTCCTGCCTTGGCCTCCCAGAGTGCTGGGATTCTAGGTATGAGCCACTACGCATGGCCTAGTCTTTGTCTTCGCCGGTCCTTTCTGCCTTAACTTGATAAGTCCCCTTTTCCTGGCCTTTGGAGAGCACACTCTTCTGCTTCTCCTTCTGTTCTCCTGACTATTCCATATCAACTTTCTTTCTCTTTCTTTTTCCCTCTGTTTCCTTCCTCTTGTAGACACTCCAAACACCGGCTTCTTCTAATTTTGGTATGTCTCATTATGCTTTTTCCATGGTTTTAATTACTACTTCTGTACCGATGACTGCTGTCAAACCTCTCTTAAGCTTTATACTTATAATTCTAAAACCCCATTGCGTCTTTCAAGGTTTCCCATATTCAGTGTCCTTAAAAAAGTTTATCACCTTTTTTCCTGACTTATTCTTACATTCTCTGTCTACATGATAACATAATCCTTCAAGTTTCTCAGTACTGGCTGGGCACGGTGGCTCACACCTGTAATCCCAGCACTTTGGGAGGCCAAGGCAGGCAAATCACTTGCGATCAGGAATTTGAGACCAGCCTGGCCAACATGGTAGAACTAAAAATACAAAAATTAGCTGGGTGTGGTGGTGGGCACCTGTAGTCCTAGCTACTTGGGAGGCTAAGGCAGGCAAATTGCTTGAACCTGGGAGGTGGAGGTTGTAGTGAGCTGAGATTGCGTCACTGCACTCCAGCCTGAGTGACAGAGTGAGACTTTGTCTCAAAAAAAGAAAAAAAATCTCTCCAGTACTGCATCTACTCTCAGTCTAGCTTCACGTTCTACTGACCCTCTGGATATTTCCCAGACTTAGCTCCTTTTCTTATAGTAGCAGGCTTCCAGATTTGTTCTGTTCTCTATATTATTGGTAGAGTGAGCTATCAAAATTATATCTCACTGTGTCTTGTTTCTTGTCTACCTGCAGTTTTTATCTGAGTTGTATCTGACTATGTCCCTTCCTAATGAGAGGACAGAGTCTCTGTGACTTGGTCTTGCTGCCTCTGTAGGTTTACCATTTGCTACTCCGTGACTGGCTTATTTTGCTTTAGTAAGATACTTTTACTTCAAAATACGATACTTCATCGTACTTTGAAGCAAACTGTGATTTCTGACCAGCATATTCTTGTTCATTTTGCTTGGTTTAGCCTTTAAAATGTAATGTAATTACATTCATCTGGAAGAATTCTCTGTTTTCTCTAGGATGGGCCAAGGTACCATTTCTGTGCCTCCGTTGTGACTGTGGTACTGACCATGTGATAGTAAAGGGTATTTATTTCTTTGTCCTTGTAGATAGAGATTGTCTTATACAGTGAAAAAAAGTTTTCAATGCATAAAGTAATGGCTCGATAATTTTTTATTTTTGATAATGAGTATCTAAAAATTTTAGGTTGTAAATATCATCGATTTATGAATTATTTTCTTTGTAAATAATGACAAAACCCAAGCTAGACTTGAGGACTGTTCTTCACATGGATAGAGATGTGCTCAAAGGCCGGGCGCTGTGGCTCACGCCTGTAATCCCAGCTCTTAGGGAGGCAGAGGCGGGAGGATAGCTTAAGCCCAGGAGTTCGAGACCTGCCTGGGCAATATAGCGAGACCCCGTTCTCCACAAAAAGGAAAAAAACAAAAAGACACACACACACACAAAAAAAAAGCGTAAGATGTGCTCAAGGAGTACAAATGATATAATTTTTATCACAAGGGAGATTAATGTATTGCTGCTGGAAACATTAATGCCAGAATCCAATGGCATTTAGCTTACCTGCTAATTTAAAATATTTGTTACTTCTTCTATGTCCCTGCCTAAAATTTGTATGCCTACATTAAAGTTTTGTCTTTTGAAAACTGAAGGTTAAGAATTTTGGCTGGGCATGGTAGCCCATGCCTATAATCCCAGCACTTTGGAGGCCAAAGTAAGAGGATTACCTGAGCCCAGCAGTTCAAGACCAGCCTGGGCAACATGGGGAGACCCCATCTCTTATCATCATCATCATCATCATCATAGTAATTTTTATACTTTTTTTTCCTGAGACAGAGTCTCACTCTTTTGCCCAAGTTGGAGTGCAGTGGTGCGATCTCGGCTCGCTGCAATCTCCGCCTCAGCCTCTCGAGGAGCTGGGATTGCAGGCGCATGCCACCATGCCCAGCTAATTTTTTTGTATTTTTAGTAGAGATGGGGTTTCACCATCTTGGCCAGGCTGATCTTGAACTCCTGACCTCGTGATCCATCCGCCTTGGCCTCCCAAAGTGCTGGGATTACAGCTTTGAGCCACCATGCCCAGCCCTTACACTTATTTTTTAAAATTAGATTTGAAAAAATTACCATTATGACTAAATATCATTGAGTTTGTTTTACTTAACCAAAAGAGAAGTGTAATGTTTGCCAGTTTTTCTTTTTTTTCTTTTTATTTATTTATCTTTTTGAGACAGAGTCTCGCTCTGTTGTCCAGGCTGGAGTGCAGTGGCATGGTCTCAGCTCAGTGCAACCTCTGTCTCCCAGACTCAAGTGGTTCTTGTGCCTCAGCCTCCCCTAAATCCTGGGGATTATAGGCATGCACCCAACACCCAGCTAATTTTTGTGTTTTTGTAGCAATGGGGTTTCGCCATGTTGACCAGGCTGATCTTGAGCTCCTAGCCTCAAGTGATCCGCCTGCCTTGGCCTCCCAAAGTACTGGGATGACAGGTGTGAGCCACTGCATCTGGCCTCAATTTTTCTTAGGAACCAGGTTGAAGAAAATGATGAGAGACTTCTTTTCCTGCCTGATTTCTTACCCATCTTCTGTTTTGGAATTGCAGTTACAGATGTAGAGCTAAAACGACTGAAGGATGCCTTCAAGAGGACCTGTGGACTCTCATATTACATGGGCCAGCACTGCTTCATCCGAGAAGTGCTTGGGGATGGGGTGCCTCCAAAAGTTGCTGAGGTAATCTTTTTGTTCTAAGTTTTCCTTTGAGGTAGTTACCCACCAGCCTAAATTCTTGAGGAACCTCCTAATTATAACAGATTTAATCTTACCTGTACTTATTTTTCTTCCTGAGAGGGTAAAGAAGGCTTTGTTTTAGATGTCAATATGGCTGTGTTCTTAGAGGCCAAATGGGAGTACTACGGAACTGTAATTCTGCTTCTTTGGTACTTTTAAGCTTTAAGAACCACTGCTTATGATCATGGGAACATTTCCATGATTGGCTTCTTATTCTTACAAAGTTCATCTCTGTGACATAAAAATTTTTATGTTGCAAGTATGTTTTATAAATTTTATGTTAAAGAAAACCTTTCCATGTAGTAAAACCTAGTTAATTCGATAAAATTAAATGTTGCAAATGAAATATTAGCTTATTGGGACTTCATTAAATTTTTATTTAAGTTCTACTAAAATGTTTAGATAGAGATAAAATGTGCTAAGTTGATATAAATATTCTCTTTATAAAAATAATAAGTTGAACCAGGCGCCATGGTGTGTACCTATAGTCCCAGCTACTCAGGAGGCTGAGGCAGGAGGCTTCCTTAAGCCCAACAATTCGAGTCCAGCCTGGGCAACATAGTGAGACACTGTCTCTAAAAATAATACAATAAAAGTTTACTATTTTGTAGTTATATACACAGATGTACATTTTGTCATTCTAAATGTGAAATAGGAATGAATAAAGTTTATTGGCTGGCTGTGGTGGCTCATGCCTGTAATCTCAGCACTTTGGGAGATTGAGGCAGGAGGATCACTTGAGCTCAGGAGTTCCAGACCAGCCTGGACAACATAGCGAGACCTCGTCTCTACTTAAAAAAAAAATTACCTGGCTCCGTCATATGTGCCTGTAAGTCCCAGGTATTTAGGGGGCTGAGGCAGAAGGATTGCTTGAGTCCGGGAGATTGACGCTATAGTGAGCTATGATTGCACCACTAACGCTCCAGCCTGGGTGACAGTGAGACCCTGTCTCAAAAGAAAAAAAGAATAAATATTATAAGATAATAAAAATTATGGCCAGGTGCAGTGGCTCATGCCTGTAATCCCAGCACTTTCGGAGGTCAAGGTGGTTGAATCATGAGGTCAGGAGTTCTAGACCAACCTGGCCAATATGGTGAAACCCCATCTCTGCTAAAAATACAAAAAATTAGCGGGGGCGTAGTGGCACGCACCTGTATTGTTTTTGGTTTTGTGGAGTGTTTTATTTTTTGCTCTTTTGGTGTGGGTTATGTATTGAATTATTTCTCTTACATATATTGTGTAAAATTACACTCGTTCTGCCATTATTTCAGATTTATGATAGGATTGACATTTTTTCTGAGTCTGTTTATTGGGTTCTCTGTTTCAGTATAAATTTATCGTACTATTTAAAAAATTTTGAAATGGAGTTTTGCTCTTGTCACTGAGGCTGGAGTGCAATGGAATGATCTTGGCTTACTGCAGCCTCCACCTTGAACTCCTGACCTCAGGTGATCCACCTGCCTCTGTTCCCCAAAGTGCTGGGATTACAGGTGTGAGCCTCCGTATCCAGCCAATACATTTTATTCATTCTTGTTTCACATTTAGAATGACAAAATGCACATCTGTGTATATAACTACAAAATAGTAAACTTTTATTGTATTATTTTAGAGACAGTGTCTCACTATGTTGCCCAGGCTGGACTCGAATTGTTGGGCTTAAGGAAGCCTCCTACCTCAGGAGCCTCCTATTTTTTTTTTTTTAACCTGTTTTTCTTAAGTGCTAGTATAATATAAAAACTTGGAATTTAGAATTTTTCATTTTAGGGTATAACTAGTAATTTAATATGGTAATATAAGTTGTCAATTGAGAAAGAGACTTAAACTGAGTTCATATTAACATAAAATGCTTCAAAATTCAAATATATATGAACTTCAGTCTTTCTTTTACCTTAGCCCCTTTCTTAAAGTCAGAACTGTCAGTCCCAGTGTATTCATGATATTGGGAGAAATTTAGGTCAGCATATCTGATTCACCTCTTTGGATCATATGTAAAGGTCTAGTCCTTTTAAGGGACTAGATACAAGTCCCTTAAAAGACATGATTTGCAAATATTTTCCCCACTTCTGTAGGTTATCTTCTCACTCTCTTGACAGTGCTTTCTGAAACACAAAAGTTTTAAATTTTGATGAAGTCTGGTTCATCTTTTTTTTCTTTTATCACTTGTACTTTTTAGTTTAATATCTGAGAAACCATTGCTTAACCCAAGGCTGCAAAGATTTACTTATGTTTCCCTCTATGAGTTTTATAGTTTTTGCTATTACATTTATATATCATCTATTAATGCGAGTTTTTTTTTTTTTCTTTTTCTTTTTTTTTTT